GTTGTTGTCGTTGTTATTGTTGTTGTTGTTGTTGTTGTTGTTGCTGTTGTTGTTGTTGTTGTTTTAGAATAATATCATTGTCGGCTTCTGCTATAGATGTTCTTGTTCCAAGTGACAAATGAAACAGAATTTACTTATTTTATTCGCCGGAGACTCACCTTTCGTTAGCCTCGTCTTCATTCTTTTTTGCCTCTTTCGCTCCTAGCCTTGGTCGTATTGCCGTTCGGAAATTTGCACCGCGGTTAGCCAACTTCAAACTTGACATATAGAATCTATACCCCTCGCTTTAAACACAATGTTTCGATTTTCGATAGATGAAATTCCGGAAGTTGGGAGGGGGGGGCGTGGAGTGGGTAAGCTTCTCGATTTGGAAAAGGTTAAGCTTTTCATAAAAAGTGTAATAATTTTCAGTTCCTTTGCGTGGTGATATGTTGCGTCCCTGTTCACTCGTTGCCTCGTCGTTTTTCAAGGTGTTTGTGAGTGTCGGTCAGCGAGCCGTGTTGCTTTGCCATGTACAGCGTCCTTTCACCTGTGTATTTTCGCCAGTCACCGTATTCCACTCAAACAAGTTGGGTGTTTTCGGTAAGTTCTGGAGTATCGTTCGTTCATCTAACCTATTGACAGAGTGTGTCAGATGTTGGTTTATAAATGCCATCAGTACTTCAAGCTACGTAATCTTTCTTCCGTGCTGCATTTGTACGAAAATACGTGTACATTGATCTACCGCTTACAAGAACAAAATTAAAGTGACTTTATTTATATTGCATGTACTCTCTTCCACTCGAGCTGTTTTAGATACAATGTAAAATCATTTCATTAGTAGGCTCGTAGCCTAATTCCACACATATGCCAAATGTCTACCCATATATAGCACCAAATCTATCTATCAATCTATCTATCCACCGCAATGTCTGTCTGTCTGTCTGTAAGCTTATGTGAAAAGATTACATCTGTCTGTCTGTCTGTCTGTCTGTCTGTCTGTCTGTCTGTCTGTCTGTCTGTCTGTCTGTCTGTCTGTCTGTCTGTCTG